AAGGCAATTGCCTTTCAGAATCTGCAAGTTGGTAGGTACATTTCCTGATTTCTTATGTTGGTTTCACAAGAATTGACTTTTTTTTTTAAAGTTACCTGCAAACACTGGATTTTTACTCTACTTTAAGTAATTTGACCATTTCAGTTAATTTTCCAGTCTTCTGTTGGAGAAAAGCAGTCATGGATATAACATGTTACTATAGGATCAGATAGAGGGGGGGAAAGGGATGGGAGTAGTATGGTCAGCTCTTGGTAGCCAGTTTCTTCATGGTGCAGGCACGGCCCCACTGACTGTGTGCCTGTGTGCCAGGTGGGCTCTGGTGCCATTGGCTGTGAGCTGCTGAAGAACTTTGCAATGATGGGGCTAGCTGCTGGCAAGGGTGGAAGCATCACAGTGACTGACATGGACACCATTGAGCGCTCCAACCTCAACCGGCAGTTTCTCTTCCGGCCTTGGGATGTACCCGTGAGTGATTGCAAGGTTGAGGTACTGGAGAGCATGTGCATGGGTGCTGAGGCCCAAAGCAGCTGCCATGGGCAGGGGCAAGGGTTTGCCCAGCCAGGCCTGTAAGCACCCAGTCAGTAGAGAGACAACTAAGCCAGGCATGGTGCAACTGTTCCCTGCCAACCTGCTGTGCCAGTGCTTCTCACTTATGACCTACAGACCCCTGCTGGCCCAGCTCTGGGCTCCCCTTCACCCAGCTCTACCAGTGTTGCTCCCCCACATCAGCAGTCTCAGAGTTGGTTCCCAGCCCAGGGCTGAAAAAGCCCCACAGACGGTGACGATCTGCTTCAGCACCTGCTGCCTGCATCATGTGGTTTTCAGGAAGCACTGACTGAACCCTTAGAGTGAGGGTAGCGGAGCCCAAATACCAATTAGAGGGAGCTCCCATGTCCTTGTCAGCTCTAGCTGCCCAAATCGCCACAGTCTTCCTCCTGCCCAGCTTCTGCAGGGAGCCATCCTGCACCAGCAGCGTGGTCTGGAAAGAAAGGAGTGAAGGGGACAGACTTGGGGAGGGGGACCAGACTCCTGTGTTTACTAGGAACTGGGGCCAAGGCAGGGGCTTCTCTGCCTGCAGCCAGCAGTCCCTGTTAGGAATTTGGTGCTGGCCCTTTCCCACCTGTTTGGCCATGCAAAGTGTCTGTAAACCAGCTGGCTCTGTTAGGATGGCGCATCACTGTTACCAGCACCTGGGCTTGTGGCAGGAGCCATAGAGCTGTGTGGGCAGGAGCCCAAAGGTAGATAAGGAGCTCCCTGGCCTCTACAACGGGCTGGCTTTCTCTGGGACACTGGGCCTGCTGCACCAGTGGGAGGGATGGGGGATTGTGTTCCACCTTCTACACCTAGCCAGGACAGGACCATACCTCCGCCCCCATCCAGAATCTTGGTTGCATTCCTCTTGCAGAAGCTGAAATCAGAGGTGGCAGCAGCGGCAGTGAGGCGCATGAATCCACACATCAATATAGTGGCCCACAGCAACCAGGTGGGGCCCACCACAGAGCAGCAATATGGCGAGGACTTTTTCCAGCCTCTTGATGGCGTGGCAAGTGCCCTGGACAGCATGAGAGCTCGTGAGTGCCCAGGAAGGAGCTAGGGCCAGGCTGAGCATGGTCATGCACACCCCATGCCTGTGCCATTCCACATGGCACTGGGGAAATGACCTGGTGCCACCTAGCTACAGAGCAGCACCTGGGGGCTTAGATAAGAACAGGAGGCTGCTTGCACACTCCTTCAGACTGACTCGCTCTCTGCTTTGCATCCTGCCCTGGTGCTGGGATTCCTCTGGGGACTCTTCTATGTGGGTGGAGTTTACTTCGATTGGGACAGGGGATGGAGTCTATAGAAAGGAAGACTCCCCCACTGTGCCCCAGGACCCATACTCTCGGTTACCCATGGAGTGTGCTTGCCTGGAGGAGTGGGGGAATGGGAGTATGATACCTGCGAGGGGAGCCAAAGGTGTCAGATGTTGGTCTCCTCTCAGTTTTTCCTCCCTGTTCAGGGACATATGTGGACAGCCAGTGCATCCGTTACCTCAAGCCACTGCTTGACTCAGGCACCCAGGGCACCAAGGGACACGTGCAGGTCATTGTGCCCCGCCTAACGGAACCATTCGGCAGTCACAGTGACCCATTGGAGAAGGCCATTCCTGTCTGCACCTTGCGTCACTTCCCCAGTTCCATCGAGCACACACTGCAGGTAAGGCCCAGCCTAGCATGTAGTGGTTTCCCAATGCTGGGCATGGCCCTTCCACAGACCCAAGTGCACCCCACTTTGTCTCCCCAGCATAGTTGTTCCCCATGGGGTGGCACCAGTGCCTGGCAGCTGGATTAAGCCTTGACTTCAGCATCTCCAGTTTCCTGATAGGGTGGCTGAATGGGTTGGGTGCCCTCAACAGCCATCACCTCAGAGAGGCCTGTGGCTAATGTAGCAGGTGGTTTCATCCAGGGACACCCTGCCCCTGCCCACTGTCCTTGTGGGCATGCAGCATGGAGTGCACCCCCTAGCGTGCCCCGCTGTGGGCCTCTGTGCTTCAGCCTGTGTGTATTTCAGAAAGATGAAATTCCTCAGCACTGGGCCTGGTCTTAGCCAGTGAATGGGAACAAGAGCAGAGAAAGAGCTGTCAGGGCTGCAGGCAAGATACAGGGCCCAGCTGCTTCCTGGCTGGAAGCCCCATTGCCATATGTGCATTCTTGCTGCTAAGCCCCCATGCTGATCTAAGGCAGGGGTTTTCAACCTGTTTGGGTCAGTGTACCCCCGGTTGCCAGTTGAGAAAGAAGGAGTACCCTGCTGGTCGGTCTCCAAATACCCCTTGAAGCCTTCCCAGGTACCCCCGGTCTAAAGTATGCCAGACTTCCCCAGGATAGCTGCTGGTGTGGGGCTGTGCCCCTCCTCCCCAGTGCCCTGGCCCTCCAGAGCTCCCCATGGCTTCAGGATCCCTGGCTCTGCCCTCCACTGTTGCTTCTTTCCCTCTCATAGCAGTTAGGACCACTCATATGTATTGAAGGAAGCCACTGCTGATCTTCCCTCAGAAATGCACCAGCCTCACCACTCCTTACCAGGAGGAACTTCAGAGGGGATGGAGGGCTTCTGGGGAGGACAGGGACCTTGGCATGAGATCTGGCTGTGAAGGACTATGTAGGAAAGCAGGAGGCTACCTCAGCATCCAGTCCATAGTCCCCTGTTAGTTCCTCTGGCAGCCCTGAATTGGTCACTGCCTGCCTAAGCTAAGGGGGCTCTTAGTATCATTGCAAATTAGAGGACTTTTGAGGGTGAAGCTCCTGCCCCCCTGCCCCGAGTCCTGGGAGAGGGTGCTAGATGGACAATTCCCATAGCAGGGTCGCAGACAGTCTGGGTGTTGAGCTCCAGGGCTCTTGCCACCTGCACAGGTTGCACCAGGCTTCAGGAGCAGGGACCAACGTGCTTACAGGTTGCCACATCTTGGCAGCCTTGGTACTACAGGCTCAACCATGGGTAGGGGGGTCTTGGAGGATTGATGTTGGAATTTGAGGGGTGGGGATCCTCCATCCTGTGTCTGACCCCCTTCTCTCTCCCAGTGGGCCCGTGATGAGTTTGAGGGGCTCTTCAAGCTGCCTGCTGAGAATGTCAACAGATACCTGCAGTGAGTGTGAGCACGATGATAGGCCTGTGGCTCAACCCTAGGGGAGTTTGGGGCACAGAGCTGGGCTTGCTCTTCCTGTGTCTTCTGTGTTTGGGGGCTCCCATTTCCATCCCGCCTCAAGCAAGAAACTGGTATGACATGGCCCCAACTCCCAGCAGGACTGGGACACACCAGGACCTTGGTTCTCCATGGCTTTCATGTGAACAAGTCAGAGCCCTGGGACTGGCCACAGCACAGACAGGCCATGTCCTTTGTTGTTCATGGTTCTCTCATCAGCTTTTGCTGATGATGACCCCAGCAGCTGTGAGATTCCTGGGCTCTAGCACTGGGCCTCTCAGGGCCTGGGTTGTCACACCAGCCTTCACCTAGAGTGGCCCAGGGCTTCTGAGTTCTAGCCTCAGTTTTCACTCCTTGCCAGGGTACTGATGTTCTTCTCCCACATTACTTTTTTGGGTGGTGGTTGGGGAGGGTGGAGATGAAAAGGTTTGTGAGAGCTTGAGGTACTGAACACTGCCATGTCTTGCAGGGACTCAACTTTCCTAGAGGGGCAGCAGTCACGTGTGGAGGCACTAGAGGTCCTGGAGCTGGTGCGCAGTAGCCTGCTGGAGAAACCACGAGCCTGGCAGGACTGTGTGTACTGGGCCCGGCAGCGCTGGGAGAGCCTTTACCGCAACAGCATCCAGCAGCTGCTGCACAGTTTCCCCCCTGACCATGTAAGAGCCACCCTGCAGTGTCCCAGATCATGGGCCAAAATGTGCCCTGTCTCAGCCCTGGGAGCCTCCCCACACCTTGTATCCCATTATGCCCCTAGGAGCCTTGCTGCACCCTGCATCTCCTACTCAGTTCTTACCACTCAGTCTCCTGGTCTGGAGACTCCCCCACCCATGCCCTCTCCTTTGCCTCCCACATCAATCTCAAGGCTCTCATCAAGTCCATATGTTCCACACCAGAGTCCCTCCCAGGACCTGGAGTCACTGCCTTCTTCCAGATACACTAGCCTGTTAATATCCCAACGTATCAGGAGGAATGCTTGCAAAGCTATGCATGGGCTAGGTGGGTCCCTGTGCTCTCAGCCTGAGCCCTTGCTTGGCTGAGCCTGACCAGCCATGCCTGATCTGTGCTTTCCCTGTCTGCAGGTGACCAGCTCAGGGTTCCCGTTCTGGTCAGGGACCAGGAAATGTCCCCGGCCCCTGGAGTTTGACTGCAACAATGTAAGTGCGGAGCTGGGCCCCTAGGATAGAGCAATACCTTTGGTGGAAGCTGGCAGCCGGGGGTTAGCACTGGTGCCATAACTATGGCAATGCCACGGGAGGGCCTTTTGGCAGGATCTAGATATAGCGCACAGTGCACTGGAACAGGGAGGGCAGCTGCAAAGATGGTGCGTGCAAACACCAGGGGTGCAGCCATTGAGGTGAGGAACTGTGTGCAAGAGTAAGACTTTGATAGGTGTCAGTGGTGTGGAGGGATGGGTCCCAGGTAGCTGCAGAAAGATTTGCTAGTACAAGTGTGCACCTCCTTTGGGTGAGTCACAGCCCAGCCTGGCACAGGCACACCATTCCTCTGTGGAATCTGGCATCAGTGCCCAGTACCTCAGGGCTTATCCCAGCAGTTTTGGTACAGCTCGCAATGGGCATTTGAAGAGCTGGTCAGAGCCCCTACTCATGCTTCTAACCAAGGGGAACATGGGTAGTCCTGTCTCACAGTGAGCCAGCCCTGGGGTCCCAACTGAAGCTGTTCCTGACCCTGTCCCCCATAGCTCTGCCTGTCCTGGATCCGAGTGTCCCAAGTGCTTCCCTCTTCAACAGCCTCTTGCACTGCTCAGCCACTCTTGGAGTTCACCCCAAGAACCCCAGATTTGAATCTACCTCTTCCCCAGCTGCCCTTTCTAGCAATAGGGCATCTTGGTGTCCTGGGATCAATGGGTAGCTGGGCAGTGCTGTGTTCTGGGCAATCATGCAATGCTTGGGGCTGTGCTTTCTGCCATGTTGCTGATCACAACAGTGCAGTAGTACATACACACATGCAAAAGTGGTGCCCGAGGTAGCTGTCCTGTTTGCCTCCCTGTCCATTATGCTACTGCCTGGGGTCTTGTTTACCCTGGGCATGGGCAGCCAGTACTTCTCCCTTTGGTGCCCATACCTATATCCTGGGTGGAGGAGCCTCTGCAGCAGCCTGGTTCCCTGGAAAACCAGTTCTGAGAGGATGGACTCCTAGGAAGGTGGGAGCTGGAAACTTGTGACCTCTGTCAACAAAAAGTCATCGTCCCCACCTGCAGCAGTTTGCCTGGAGAACAGATATGGAGCTCTAGCAACAGAGGTGGAGTGCGTTCTATTGGTGGAAGAGGCCAGGCCAAGAATCCCCAAGGTGGGGAGGATCAAGACCACTGCCACGAAGAGGAAGCAGTGGGTGGTGGTGGGTGGAGATTCTTCTGTGGGTGATGGAGGCATCTGTCTGCTGGCCCGACCTGTTGTCCTGGGAGATCTACTGCTCGCCTGGAGCCCAGATCCAAGATGTCACGGAAGGATTACCGAGACTCGTCCAGACTTCTGACTGCTACTCTGTGTTGCTCATTCATGTGGGCACCAGTGATACTGCCAGGAGTGATCCTGGGCAGATCAAGAGTGACTACAGGGGTTTGGATGCAAGGGTGAAGGGGGCAGGGCCACAGGTGGTGTTCTCTTCTCTCCTTCCAATCAAGGGGAAGGGCCCAGGCAGGACTGGACATAACCTGCAGATCAATGCATGGCTGTGAAGATGGTGTTCTGAGCAGGTATTTGGTGTCTTCGACCGTGGTATGTTCCAAGAATAAGGATTGCTAGGAAGAGGCAGGATCCACTTAAAGAGAAGGAAGAGCATCTTTACAGACAGGTTCCTTAACCTAGTGAAGACAGCTTTCAACTAGGTTCACTCGGGGATGGAGCCCAAAACCCTGAGGTAAGTGAGGAAGTGGAAGACAGAGGAAGCACAAGGAGGGGGCAACTAGGGTGGCCTCCTCATTCTTACTGAGAAAGTAGGGCAATTGGCTAGTTATCTCAGGCATCTGTACATGAACACAGTCTTGGAAACGAGTAGAAAGAACTGGAAGTCCTTGCACAGTCACAGAACTGTGATGTGATTGGAATAACTGAGACTTGGTTGAATAGCTTGCATAACTGGAGTCATGGATGGGTTCAGGAAGGACAGGCAGGGGAAGAGAATGAGTTGAGCTGTATGATTGCTCAGAGCTCCAGTATGAAACTGAAGATATGGCTGTTGAAAGTCTCTGGGTTAAGGACAGAGGAGAGAGCAACAATGTTGATGTCATGGTAGGTGTCTGCTGTAGATCACCAGAACAGGAGGATGAGGTAGATGAGGCTTTTTTGGACAACTGGTGGAAGTTTCCAGATCACAGACCCTCATTCTCATGAAGGACTTCAATTACCCTGAGATATGCTGGGAAGGCAATATAGCAGTGCACAGACAATTTAGGAAGTTTTTGGAGAGCTTTGGAGACAACTTCCTGGTGCAAGTGTTGAGCGACCAACTAGGGGTCATGCTTTTTTGACCTGCTGCTCACAAACAGGGAAGAACTGGTGGGGAATGTAGTATAGTAGATGGCAACTTGGGCAGCAACGACCACAGGATGATTGAGTTCAGGATCCTGAGGAAAAGAAGGAAGGAGAGCAGCAGAGTAAGGACCCTGGACTTAGTAAAGCAGACTTTGGTTCCCTCAGGGAGCTGATGGGTAGGATCACCTGGGAGGGGGAAAGGAGTCCAGGAGAGCTGGCTGTACTTTAAATAATCGTTACTGAGGGCACAAGAACAAACCAAACCCCCATGTGCAGGAAGAATAGCAAATATGGCAGGCAACCAGCTTGGCTTAGCAGAGAACTCTTCAGTGAGCTTAAAAACAAAAAAGCTTCTAAGAAGTGGAAGCTTGGACAGATGACTAGAGAGGGGAATATAAGAGTATTGTTCAGGCATGCAGGAAAGGCCAAAGTGCAACTGGAGTTACAGCTAGCAAGGGACGTGAAGGGTAACAAGAAGGGTTTCTACAAGTATGTTAGCAACAAGAGGAAGATCAGGAAAGTGTGGATCCCTTACTGAATGGGTGAGGCAACCTAGTAACAGATGATGAAGAAAGGCTAAAGTACTTGATTCCTTTTTTACCTCAGACTTCACAGGCAAGGCCAGCTCTCAGACTACTGGGTAGCACAATTTGGGGAGAAGGTGAGCAGCCCTCAGTGGTGAAAGAACTGGTTAGGGACTATTTAGAAAAGCTGGATGCATGGGGCCGGATGCAGTGCATCCAGCTATGCTGAAGGAGTTGTCTGATGTGATTGTGGAGTCACTGGCCATTATCTTTGAAAACTCATGGCAATCAGAAGAGGTCCTAGATGATTGGAAAAGGGAAATATAGTGCCCATCTTTAAGAAAGGGAAGAAGGAGGATCTAGGGAACTACAGACCAGCCAGCTTCACCTCAGTCCTTGGAAAAATCATGGAGCAGACCCTCAAGGAAGCCATTTCTAAGCACTCGGAGGAGAAGAAAGTGATCAGAAACAGTCAGCATGCATTCACCAAGGGCAAGTCATGTCTGACCAACCTGATTGCCTTCTATGATGAGATAACTGGCTCTGCAGATGCAGGAAATGCAAGGAAGCTAAGGAAATACAGGTTGGTATGGACTGTAAGGTGAATAGAAAGCTGGCTAGATCGTTGGGCTCAACAGGCAGTGATCAATGGCTTGATGTCTAGTTGGCAGCTGGTATTAAGTGGAATGCCCCAAGGGTCGGTCCTGGGGCCAGTTTTGTTCAGTATCTTTATCCATGACTTGGAAGATGGCATAGAGTACACCCTCAGCAAGTTTGCAGACGATACCAAGGTGGGGGGAGTTGTAGATACACTGAAGGGTAGGGCTAGGATTCAGAGTGACCTAGATAAATTGGAGAATTGGGCCAAAAGGAATCTTATGAGGTTAAATAAGGAAAAGTGCTAAATCCTGCACTTAGAATGGAAGAATCCCATGCTGTGCTACAGGCTGGTGGACTAACTGGCTAAGCAGCAGCTTTGCAGAAAAGGACCTGGGGGTTACAGTAAACAGTAAACTGGATACGAGTCAGCTATGTGCCTGTGTTGCCCAGAAGCCTAACAGCATACTGGGTTGCATTAATAGGAGCATTGCCAGCAGATTGAGGGAGGTAATTATTCCCCTCTGTTCAGCACTGATGAAGCCATGTCTGGAGTACTGTGTCTAGTTTTGGGCTCTCCACTACAAAAAGGATGTGTACAAGTTGGAAAGAGTCTAGCTGAAGGTAATGAAAATGGTGAGGGGGCTGGGGCACATGACTTCTGAGGAGAGGCTGAGGGAACTGGGCTTATTTAGTCTGCAGAAGAGAAGCCTGAGTAGGGATTTGATAGCAGCCTTTAACTACCTAAAGGGTGGTTCCCAAGAGGATACAGTTAGGCTATTCTCAGTGGTGGCAGATGACAGAACAAGGAGTAATGGTCTCAAGTTGCAGCAATGGAAGTTTAGCTTAGATATTAGCAAAAACTCTCACTAGGAGCATGGTAAAGGACTGGAAGCAGTTATCTAGAGAGGTGGTGGAATATCCATCCTTGGAGGTTTTAAAGGCCCAGCTCAACAGAACCCTGGCTGGAATTATGTAGTTGGGGATGGTCCCTCTTTGAGCAGGGGGTTGGACTAGATGGGTGCCTGTACACAAGCACAGATGCTGCTCTAATGTGCTGTAATTAGCAGACTCGATTAATTGAGTCTGCTAGAGTGTGGCAATTACTGTGCTCCAGCAACCTCCCATGTCTTGTGTATCAGTGTTCCTGTGCTTCACAGTGGCAGCAGGGGCATTTTGCCTACAGCTTGTTGAACGAGCTTTATTTCAAGCTTCCCTGTCATCATTTTGAAGCATGGGGATGCTAATACACAAGATGCTGTGGCGCTTTAATTAGAACAGCTCCTGGAGCACTGCCTCTCTACCCCCAGAGTATATGTAAAAGTGCCCAATGTCTTCCTGAGCTCTCTTCCATTTTATGATAAGTGGGGGGCATATGATGGGAGAAAAAGATGGTAGGGGATGGCTGTGAGACAGCAGGAGAGTCCCACTGAGTCTGGCCATGCCTGCAGGATACCCACATGCAGTACATCATTGCTGCTGCCAGCCTCTTTGCTCAGATGCACAAGCTACAGATGTCTGGGGACACAGCCGCCATCCAGGAGACCCTGCGTGCTATGACCTTGGTGCCCTTCAAGCCACAGGCTGGGGTGAAGATCCCAGTCACAGATGAGGAGTTGCAAGAGACATCGACTGCAGCTGGTAAGGAGTTCCAGCCCTGCCTTGCCCTGCCCTTCCTAATAACTGCATTGCTCCCTGGACAGATGATCCTGGGGGTGTGTGAAGGAGGGGGGCACTCCTGGCAGCCTTGTCTGCTGCTTGCTTTGTATCTTGAGATCTGCCCAGCACAGCCCATTGCTTGAAATACTTCCTGCTGCCTTGCACAGGCCTGCTGTTCCAGATCTGTGTCAGTTCCTCTTATGCAGCACAACTGACAGCACCTCACTTCCTATGTAGGGGTTAGTTGATGACCCCAGTCATTGACTTACCAGTCTTCCACATGTACCTTCCTTGACAGCCTAGCAGAGTGGCTCAGCTTCTGTACCCTCAGCCCCTGGTGAGTGGTGGGTTCTGGTTCCAAGGGGCCCTCACTCCTGACTCATTCCTGTTTCGGCCTTTGGTGTGGTTCCCTTGCAGTCCCATATACAGACAAATGGTGTGCAGCAAGCACACTGGAGATGGCTGTTTATGGGGCTTCTCTGGAAGACAGAGGCTGTGACAGACCTGACTGACCATTTCCTCCCAAGCCCTGCTTGACAATAGCCAGGCAACAGCATGGCTAGAAATCTCAGATCCCTGCAGGACACTGCATTGCTGAGGGGGCCTTTGCACTCATTCATGCCAAAACTGACAGGCAGTGGTGTATGAGGGTATGCAAACACTGCCCAGTGTTGCTGTCAAACAGGCACACTGAATCTTCCTCTTGGGAAGTCCAGCTGGCTGGTTTCTTATGGACAGTGACGTGATCACTGGTCCAACTTGGCCCAAGTCTCAGGCACCCCAGGCAGTGCCCCCCTCATGTCCACAGGGATAGCAGAGTCCATATGGAAAAGACCTTGGTCCAGTCCATGGAAGGGCACAGGTGCTCAGTCCTGGGACCTTTGCCAGTATCCTGTCTGCCTCTGGGTTATGTATCCCCTAAAGTGACATGGCACTGACTTTGCCCAGAGGGGTCTGAGATAACAAGAGGGTCACTTCTCCTGCTACTCGCTCTGTTCCCCTACAGATGAGAATCGTTTGGCAAAGCTGAGTCAGGAGCTTGCAGAGCTCCGCCATGAGCTGGTGAGCAAGAATCTCTGCACCGCCTACCTTATGGAACCAATTCACTTTGAGAAGGTACCAGGAGCTGTTTTTCTCTAACTGGCTTTCTTCTGGCTTCTCCATTCAGGAGGCAGACCCAGCTGCCAGGGCACAGAAGCTTGTGGTGGGGAAGTGGCACAACAAGTTTTGGGTCTTGGTGCCTGTGGCCCTGGCTGGTTTCCCAGGGGAGTGGGTCTGCAGGAAGTTCCCATGGGCAGGGCACTATGTACAGCTCCATAGATGGGGAGTATGGCCCTGCAGTTCCACAAGGGCATTCCTTTATCAATACTACCTCTCCCTGACAGCTGTTTGTCACTGCCCATGTCTAACCACACCTTTGCAGCCAGGGGGTTGGGCTGGTTCCTACAGTCCTCCAACTGATGGTGGGCCCAGAGCTGCCAGCACAATTTTGGCTGGGGACTGGCTGTGCATGTCCTGGCTGAGCAGAGTCCTTAGCACTAGGTGCAGGATCCCCCTCCAGCCCTCCCTCAATCTCTGGGGAGCAGCATGCATACCCTTACACGCCCTTGCCTGTCAGTTTCGGCATGAATGGGTGCAAAGGCCCTCTCAGCAATGCAGTGGTCCTGCAGGGATCTGAGGTCCCTAGCTATGCTGTTGCCTGACTCATCAGGCAGGGCTTGGGAGGGAATGGTCAGTCGGAAGTGTCCCAGCCTGTTTTCCAAAGGAGCCCCATAAGCAGCCCTCTCCAGACTGGCAGCCATTCTCCATGGAACTACTGGGACTGAGGTGCTAGCCTCTTGCTCTTGACCACTTCTGACAGCCAGAGGGTCTCTGCTGTCCCAAGAGAGGCAGCCACCTAGCCCTGTCCTTGGGAGGTCTGGTACCATCTTTGGATTCTCATTCTGCTCTCTCCCTCACTGTTCTCTGCAGGATGATGACAGGAACTGCCACATTGATTTTATCACGGTCGCATCCAACCTACGAGCTGAGAACTATGGCATTCCGCCTGCTGACAAGTGCAAGGTGAAAATTTATGATGCCCGTAGGAGTGAGTCTATGTCAGGAATGTATCTATAGCATCCCTTTGGGGAGATTGGGGCTATTACATTCCCAGGCAGAGGAGCCTGGTTGGGAGGTCCTTTCCACAGCTTACACAGCCCTGGGAAGCAGCTGCTGATGTGCTTTCCCCAATTGCCCACAGAGCAAGCGGATTGCTGGCCGGATCGTGCCTGCCATTGCCACCACAACAGCGGCAGTGGCTGGCCTGGCATGCCTAGAGCTCTTCAAGTTGGTATGGGGGCACGAGCACCTCAGCGCCTACTGTAACAGCTTCCTGCAACTCTCAGAGCCCCGGCTTACCCGTTTCCAGCCTCTGCCAGCCTCCACTTGCAAGGTATGACTCTCCCAGCCCTGTTATCTGCACCCTTGTTTCCAAGGCTGCTCTTGCCCACAGCATCAGGACAGGGCTGTTTGGGCAAGGGCTCAATCTGTCCCTGCACCGGCTGTACTCCTAAGAGCCCTGCCAGGACAATAGGGGGGCATGGTGTAGGGTAGACCTGATGCCTAAAAGGACTCTCATGGCATGCTTTCCTCTTTGGTCTAGGATACACTAAGTGGTGCTAAGGGCCTCTATCCTATAGGGTGGGAGGTTGGAGCTTGGTATGGAACAACAGTCTGGCAAATACTAAAGCCCAGTGTGCTGCTGGGAGTGGGAGGGGCTGTTGCAGGAAGTCAAATCGAGGCTCAGCAGTGGGTGCTCTCTCTTCTGAGTGACTGCAGCCTGAGTGGTGGGATTGGGCCCTGCACTGTTTCAGCCGTCCCCTCTGCACCCACATCAGCACTCCCCACCCCCATATCTAGTATGCAGGGCCATGCTATCCTGCCCATGGGGCTCCCCACAGGTCCAGAAATTTAGCATGAGTAGGGCAGCCATTGTTTCCCTTCAGTCAAATTTTTGGACCCATGGGCAGCCTTGAGGGCCAAGTGACATGGCTCCACAGACCAGATCTGACCCTCAGGCCAAGGGTTGAGCACCCCTTGTCTAATGGGCTCACTTCCTCTCCTGCTTTAGGTCAGGACACAGCTGCTTCTCAGTGGGCCTTAGGCTTTAGTGTCAGGTTGGTCAAGCTGTCCTTGGCAGCACTGTCTGCATTGCACTGATGAAAGAGGAGAGCACATCTCTGAGTAGGATGCCCTAGACACTGCAGTGACCTCCACAGCTCTGGTGGTATCCCAGCTCTGAGGACAGCTGGCTGAGCTATGGCTGGGGACAGTGACGAAGCAGTATCCCCTCACTGGAATGTGGGTGAACATTGCCCAAATATCTCATTTCTGTCCACATTAACAACACCCCCTTGCTGAGATCAGCCCCCCTATTGCATGAATGCTGCATGCCTGCTGACCTGGTGTAGTCCCCTCCGCAGACCGGAAGAGGGCTGAGTTCAGCAGCAGATGCCTGGAACAGGGAGCCTGAGAGAGGCAGAGCAGGGCTGCCTGGGAGCTGTCAGGCACAGGAAATGGGACTTAGGCCTGTGGCTGCCTGGGCAGAGGGCCAAACAGCAGAGAGCTTTAACTCCTTCCTGCAGCCTGCAAGCCCCCACAGCCTGGGCTGACAGCCAGCCTTCTCCACCTAGCCCTGCTAAACTGCCCATCCTCAGTTGCGGCCAGGCCTCCTTGCACAGCAGGACCATCGGACTGCACGGGACTGGCTCCAGAGCCAGAGCTAAACTGGCTTGGGGACTCTGCTCCAGAGCTCCCTACTCACCCACACACCCTCTCTACCAAAGCTTTTGGCCATGGGCATTCTGGCATCCTGACCTTTCCAAAGCTGCCTACCAGGACTGGCTCTTTGTCAGATATGGGTTTCCCAGGGAGTGGGAAACCCATTCCAGAGCAAAGCAGAATCAGTTCCTTGAGCCTAGGCCATGGAGCTGAGGGGAAGCAGAGTGATGATAAGGCACAGTGGATTAATTTATTGCCCTTCCCTGCAACGAGATGCTGGAAATTATTCAAGACGAATCCCACACCCACTTCAGCAGAGCAGAAACCAAGGCATAATCCTCCAGAAGTGGATCCAAGTTATCATTCTGACGGTGCTAGCCATGTCTCCATTGTTACAGCAAAGCTGAGTTTGGCCCGAGACAGGTGTCCCCTGGCTTTTGGCTCTCAGTGGAAAGCATGGCTCCAATGTTACTTTGAGTTTTGCTCATTCCTGTGGGGGGTCATGGGTTGCAGTAAGACACTGCCAGTGCACACCCAGGTTCAGTCAGCCATGTCCAGCACTGGTCTAACCTGGTGTCCAGCTAGCTCAGGACAGGAGGATAAAGGACTGTTCTCCTGGGGGCTCCCACCCTAACTAAACAGATTTTTTTTTTTTTTGGTGGGGAGGAGGTGGAGGGGGGAAATATATATACACATAATCTAGCATAAGCTTTTCATGACACACCTTAAACCGCATTAAGAAACTGCACACCCGCTCCCTTGCGGCCCCATGCACCCACCTGCTGCCCTTCCCTAACCCAGTTGCAGCCCCTTAGTCCAGGCCCTGATTTGGGGTTTAGATTCTCAGTTTGTTCACTGTCCTTGTCACTGTCACTTCCGTTGCTGCTGATCCTGTTGCTGTCTTCATCGCTGTCTCCCAGTTCAGTTGCGTTATTGTCCTTTTCGTTCTCCCTGTCCACTTCCCCTCCCGGGGGTCTATGCTCACAGGGTGCAGATACAGGAACAGGAGAGGATACAGGAGCAGCCCTTTCTGCTATTGTGGGACACATGGAGATGTCCTATAAGCAGGGTTAGGGAGAGCAGACTGTTACCAAGGAGTCAGCTTCTCTTAGTGGTAGTCATCTCACAATGGCAGTGATGGGACAGAGGTCACAAACTCTCCCCAGCAAAGATGGCCACTGTCTCCTTTTGGTTCCGTACTGTTCTTCTCTGCCTTTTGATAGCCAGGGGACCACTTCTTCCCTGAGACATCTTGGCTTCTGGGGGAGGCAGGGCTGGGAGGAACAGGCACTTGGGAAGGGCAGGGTAGACTCTGTGAAGAGACTACGGAATATGCACCAGCCCCTGAGGTGAAAGACACTCTCAGCTCAGAAAAACATGGCCAAAAAGGCTAAGGGCCCTGCGCCTGGATTTGTTAACTCCCCAAATCAACTTCCAGTAACCAGGGAGCACTGGGAGGTGTGGGCTTGCAGGAAGCTAGGAGGTGATGAGAAACTGAGGGCTGCAGAGGAGTGGGGTTATACAGGGAGGGTGGAGGGGACACGTTGGGGCATGCAGGATGATGCAGGAAGCAGGATGTCAGGGGCAGGGAAAGCTGTTTATGCAGGGGAGGGGGACACACTCCAGCTGTCTTACACTGCTGGTTATGAAAAGCAGCTGTAAACTTAACTTCTGCTTGGCAGTGGGCCATCTCTGAGGTTGTGGGAGAGGGGGATGGGCAGCAAGGCTGCGGGGCGCCTGCTTCTGAGGGGCTGTCGGAGAACCCTCTGTTTCTGTGTGGGGCCTTCCCCCTTTGGTGTGCAGGGGATGGCCTGGGGGCATGGCTGGGACTGGAGCCAATCCCCATGGCCTTCCACAGGCCACCCCTCACCAGCACCACTCTGTGCAGGAGCTGGCCTCTCCCTCTCCTGCTGTGTGCTGTTCCCTCAGCTGGCTGTGCCCCAGCACCCGGCTTCCTGCCCAGCGCTCTCTGCGAGGCCTGGCCCAACAGGGCCAGGACATGCACAGCCAGTCCCCAGGGACAGCCTGCTCCTTCTCTGCACGCTTGCAGATGTGCCAGAGAGAAACCAGAGCTCGAGTGGGTGTGGGGGGGAGGGAGCTTAAATTGGGACCGTCTGTTCCAATAGAAGCCTCTTTGTCTGGGGGTTTATGGAGTGCGAGGCCTGGCTTCCTGCTGCACAGGAAACACTGATTGGAACCAGATTGGCTGGGGGCTGGGGCCAGGGCAGGAAGGGGGGGAGGGGAAGACGCCTTCCGAGCTGCCATTTCAGCTCTAGCAATATTCATAGCTCAAGTCCTGCTGCAGTTTATCACTGCTCCCTAGGGCTTGACATGGCTATGTGGGCTGTGCCAAGTGGGCATGTAGACTCTTCCTCACAGCAGGGGCGACCACTATGCTGATCGGGCACTAACAGCAAACGGAGACCATACCCACCCCACATCCTGGAGCACAATAACCCATAGTGCAGCACTGGGACTGGCTGGCCCAACCCCGACAATATCAGTGTTGCCAACTCTCATGAGTTTTGGCATTGTTCTTAAAGTTGACACTTCAGGACTGAAGCACAGCTCTTACTATTTTAGCTCTTACTGTTTTATATATGTATATAAATAAAAAATAAAAGAAAGAGCTAAGTTTTTCACATTCCCGAAGAGTCAACTTTAAGAAAAACGCCAAAAATCATGAGAGTTTGCAACATGGCATCCCATAGTGCTGCCCTAGGGCAATGGGGCTGACACTGACTGCAAAGGGGGAGCTCGATGTGCAGCCCCCATTCTGAGACCTGATCTTTGTTGGGGCAACCCCTATGCTTTGCAGCCTGATCGAGCCGAGACAGCTCCCCTACGTGTGGATGGCACAGGGAAGCTGTGTGGAGCCTCTGGATCAGCTGAGGAGAATGAGGTGGGTGGCAGTGCCCAGCTTAGATGAGCTCTGCATAGCAGAGGCAAGAGGCCTGCTCAGGAGGAGTGTTTAGGGTAGAAGCTGTGCTCTATGGAAAGGACAGAGTTAACTGCTAGTTCTCAGCATAGGGAGGGAAGTTAAGGCAGTCAGTCAGACATTAAAGGCCATTGCCACCCTTGTGAGAAAAGCCAGTCAGGCCTGGGAGGGGGTTACCCAGGCCCTGGGAGGTCTCCGCCAGGTTCTGGTCCTGCTATCCCTGTGAAGGGTGGTGAGGGTGAGCAGAGGAAGTCCTGGGGCTGGGGAGGGGTAGGCAGCAATGGGCTGAGGCAAACCCTGCCTCCCCTCCAAACCATCCCAGCATGTGGTGAAAAAAAAAGGTGAGGCCAGATGCACCAAAAGGCCACAAGGCTGGATGCCTCCAGGGAGAGCTAATCCTGCCCACCCCAGCTCCAGGCAGCCAGCTGCCTCCCCAGTGTTCATGGCCAAGGCTGAGGGCCATGTTACAAGTCCCAGGGCTTCAGCCGCAGCTCTGCCGTGGTCTTACAAGAGCAGTGTGGCCTGTGTTGGCCTGGCAAGCTGGGTGTGGGACAAGCTGTCCTAACAGGAACCTATATGACCCATAGGCTGAACAGATAGAGCAGCAGTTGCCACTCCAAACTCCTGGGTCCATTCCCAGGTCTCACACAAATCACTCCTAGCAATTTAAACAAGTCCCATCCCTCTGTGCTTCAGTTTTCCCCCTCCACAAGCATGTTATGCTGTATTTTGCTGCAGGCATGCTTGTTACTCCTCTTTTGACCTGTTAGGAAACAGAACCTACCCCAGTGCAGAAAGCAGGGGCTGCTTGGGGGTCTTCTCTGGGACAGAAGCAGGCTTATTTCAGGGCAGAGAACACTTTATGGAGTAGATGTGGGTGGCAGTTGAGACGGGTCCAGTTTAGGATGACAACCACATTGACCCTGGCTGAACAGCCTTATGTGGAAGTCAGTGCAGTATTGCTGTTATCTGAATCATGGCCAGGCCCTGAGCTGGCACATTGTGAGATGATCCACACCAAGGCCAAAGAGACAGTGCTGTGGCCAGGGATATCGTGGACTGACTCAGCTGAGCAACTCTGGGAGCTGTCAAAGACCTAGCACAGGTAGAGGTTTGGGAGGATGGGGATCTTCATCCAGAGGTGTCTGTGCTCTTTGTTTTGCCCATCCTGGCCAGATGTGCATCCCGAGCCTGATGGGCAATGCTGTTGGCCTCCTACGGCCTTTTCTGCCACTGATAGCTCTGTGAACAACTGGGTTTGCATGGCTGCTGGTAGAGGTTAGCCAGTCCTGTTAGAATAAACTGAGCAAACCAGCAGCTGCTGAGGAGCCCTGGGCTGCCAGGACACTGCCCCTTTGTGTGGTCACTGGCCTCTCCATTTGTGCTGCATCCTGTGCCAGCGGGTGGACAGCTCCTCAGAAAGGCCTTTGTTGTAGAGGCCAGAGCTGCCCCAGGCAGGAGCCAGTTGGGTTACGGGCTGGGGGCGTGGCAAGTCAGTGTTGGGCAGAAGAAGGGGGTGATTGTGCTTGGGATGAGCAGTATTTCAATGGGCCTCTGTGTGGGTCTGGCTCAACCTGGCCTCTCCTCCACAAGCTCTGCAACCACTCCCTATCACTGCCCAGCACAAAGCACAGACAGCAGCAGGGCCCAGCCTGCAAGCCAGTAATAGCCCTTGCACTGAAGAGTCTTGAGGGTGCCAGAGCCTGAGGGTGAGTGTGTGCACATTGAGGCCATAGTCTTTTTGCCCAGGCTCAGCTCTAGCCCTGTATGGATGTGCTGTCCCTACATCAGGTAGGGCATCATAACCTTCCTCTCTGCAGGTGAACATCTTAGCTCTACAGGACAACAGCTGGGGAGGTTGGAGATTCATGCAATATTTGCTTTGTGCTTGTTGCCTGTTGGGGCTACCCTACCGCCCCCACTGAATGCCCAGTTCCAGGGTCATAGGTGCTGAGCTGACTTTGTCCATTAAGAATAGCTGGGCACTCCCCAGAGCAAGGGTCCAGCAGACCAGGCATGGCCTCCTACAGCTGCCAAGCTAGTGTGCCCTCACTCAGGACACCATCCTGGCAATGGCAACTGATAGCGGTATACATGGTTGAGCTACTTCGGCTTCACCTCGCCTCCCTGCTCTCACTAGCAAATGTCAGGCAGAAGATGCAGGGAGGATGCATGCCAGTTCAAGCCTGGTGAAGATGTTGCATTCTGGGATGAGTCTGGTTCTTTCTAAAGGGGAGGGGCTGTACCATTCACCCCTGCCCTCATGCCAGGCTCTGCTGACCCATGACCCAGCATTCTTGGGCACAGTTTGGGAATTCCATGGCTGTATTGAGGGGTATCAACCAGACAGGGCAGTAAGCAGGAGCCGGGATGGATAGGCGGATGGCTTCTGTTAGATCCTCTGCCCTCCCAGGTGCTGAGGCACTCTGACCTGGCCTGGGGACTTGTGGGGAGGGCAGCCTCAGCAAGCTGGCTCCAGCAGTCACCCTCCCCTTGTGACTTTCTGTGTTCAGTATGGCCAGAAGATGTGGAGCTGCTGGGACCGGTTCATGGTGCCAGGGATCAGGGATGATGGAAAGGAGATGACACTGCAGGAGCTTCTGGACTATCTCAAGGTGAGGAAGCCTGTTCCTGCCCTGCCGGTGGGAGCCTGGCTCTGGAGAGGGGTTCTGAGAATAAGGATTCCCTCTTGCACTGAATCACCCTACTCTTACCTTTCCCTCCAGAATCCTGGCCATTTCTGTATGGAGATTTGTGACATGGCTGCCCCCTTTCAGAAGGGCTAGATCTCTGTGCCTATCTTACTCTGACAGATGGGGGAGCACATCCACCAGACCACTTCTCATGAGGGGGTGTTAGTGCTGCACATGCACACAGGATATACACTTGTGCATTTGGGGGCCTCAAGTGGCTTCCTGTCAAATTCAGTTTCCCCCCAAAATTCCAACTTCTGGTGAAATTGTTCAGATTTTCATTTAAACCCCAAACACTGTTTCAGAAGTTCCTCACAAAATTATGATGAGTAACATTCATTTTTCTGCAGCAGTTGGGGGAAGTGATCACCATTTAGAGATGGTTACAAAGTGCAGCGCCAGGACTTTGCCACCCAGCCCCAGTACTGCAGGCTGTGGTATCAGACCATTTTTCAGGGGCTGGTGAGCAATACGATTGCCTTCCCAAGTGGGACCGCCCTGCAACGAGTAGATGCCCAGTTCACACTGTTCCTATCCCACTTTCTGCTTTGTTCTTTTGATTCATGAAAAGTGAGAGTGAGTGACTGAAAGCCCCTGCTCCCAGGACAAGCTTATTTGCTCGCTCTCGTCTTGCAGAGTGTTCATGGTTTGGCGGTGAGCATGCTACTTCACGAGCAGGCCACCCTCTACCACAGTCTCTGGAGCAAGCAGAAACAAGAGGAGCGACTCATCCAGAGGTAGGCTGTGTGCTCAGCCCATCTAGACCCTAGGATCTGTACCTTTCTATGCATCTAGAAGGGCTAGGGTTGCGTGTCAGGATTGAGGGACATTGGCAGAGCTGTGTATATGACAGGAGCTGGGACAGTAGGGACTGCAGATCAGAATTCAGGGTAAAGGTGGAAGGGATTGTGCTCCACCAGAATGGGTGCATTGAGGCATTCTCAGCCCATACTTACAAAATGTGCCCCACTCACTGGTCCTCTGGCTGTGCAGCTGTTACTGGAGCTGCCTTGTCAATCTGTCTGTGTCATTGTAGTGCCAGTAGGAGGTGAGGGGGCTGAGAGGTCCATGCTGGTTATAGCACCTCTACCAAACCCCTCCCCATGATAATGGAAATGCTTAGAGGGGCTGCCAGCACTGTTATGCTAGGGAGGGCGGGCATGGTGGGACCCAGACCCTGACATCCCTCCCCAACCTGGGACCATGCCCACCCTTCTGTGTCCAGCTTCCCCAGCTTGCACAACCACTTTTGTTGAACCAATTGACTCCGATTCCAGCCCCAGCTGCCCCCTTCTTGTACAGCTCACCAGGGCTCTTCCTCCTTAACCCAGATGTTCATCTACATACCCTTCCCTGGCTCCCCAGAGCTCTTGAGCCCAGTGGGTATGTGGATGTACACCAAAAGAGGCCATGAAGAGCTGGGCTGTGCCCCTCCCATCCAGGCTGAGCTCCTCCAGCTGCCAAGCTCATCCTAGCAGCTGCAAAGCCTCGCCCTGGCCTGCCTGCCCTGCAGGATAAACATCCTGCTGTCAATCCTTCCTGTGCCTGGAGCTGGGGCCCCAGCCCAGCTCTGTGCTGGCTTCCCCAGCAAGAAGCTCAGGACAGGCCTCTGGAGGCTACCTGCTCAGCCATCCAGTGCTAAGCAATGACCTAGTCCTCTGCTGACAGTCTGGGCTGTGGCCAGGATGGCATTGGCACCACATTTATGATGTCAGGAGGGTCAGAATGCGGCTACTGTGGCTGTTGAGCCCTATTAGACAATTTCAGGTGTTGGAGCCCCTGTGACTGCTGCACCCTAGTGCCACCATGCACAGCATGCCAGCCTTAATGCCTTGAACATACCAAGACAAGAGGGGAACCTAGAGAGGGGTAGTTACAGACTCCCTGAGTGTGCCATGGGGACACTGAACCTCAAAGCTGTACAGACTTCTCCATGGTAAGCTCAGGAACACAAATCACACCCCCACTTTCTGCCCCCTCCACCCCCCCAAGTATAGACCACACTTTGTAGTCCCTGGGGAACCAGTGTTCCTGGGGAAACTGAGGCAAGGAAGAGCATTTGAGTGAGTTGTCCTTTGCACTCAGTTCTGGTCCTTGGCTAAGGCAGCTGGGGCCATTCCCAGGGACAGCTTGATGTCTTTCAGCTGATGCCCCAGCCCTACTGGTTGAGATGGTTGGATTCGGCATGCCCTGTCCATGCCAGTGTATGCACTGAACAGCACCCTCCATGCTGGAGTTTCACCTTGTCCTTGGCATGCTAACCCTTTTTCTTCCCTTGCACCAGACTGACCCAGCTTGTAAGAGGTGATGCCAGTAATGCGGTACAGCAGCTGCCTCCTGTCCTGGTGCTGCAGGTCATCTGTGAAGATGAGGACGACGACACCACCTTACCCCCCATCCACTTCCGGCTCTGCTGAAGTCAGTAACTGGAGTCTGCCTCATGTAGGTACAGTGCACTCCTCCTTCAACTCCTATGTCAGCTGGGAGCCAAATGAACAGAGAACACAAGGCAGCCTCTCTTCTGTATCTATACAGCTTTTCATGGCTGGGCTTCAATAGGACACTTATGCATAGGTAATAAAGCAGTGATGCCACTCTCATCAGGAGAAATGCTTAATAAAACCTGTGATGATTGCTGCTGTTGGGAGCCTGCCCATGTCAGAACTCAGACTGCTGAGCCCACGAAGCCCTTTGTGCAGCTCAGCAGCATGCCTTGAATCGTCTGTGCCCTCTGAGTGCCCTGTCCAATCCTTTCCAAAAGGGTAGGGCCTACTCTAGGCACTGATGGCTGGCCCTGTCTAACTGTGGTGTAGAGTAGAAGGGGCAGGCAGGGAGAAAGTGTAGAATTTCAGTATATGGGGAAAGGAACCTCCAAAAGTTTGCCCTACACAAGCAGTCTTGGCCATGGGGGCTGGGTGTAGCCAAAATACAGCTGCTGAAGAGCTCTGGCAGTGTCACAAACCTACAGCCAGTGGCATTTCATAGGACAGGGTCCACTCCCATAATGAACTGCTCTGGGCAAATAGTTTCATGTGTATATGTGCATCGTTACATGGGTACATGTAGGTAGGAACGTGTGCACATGCATATGTCTGTGGGAGTGTATGTATATACATCTTGTAAGTGCACAGTGATACATCAGACCTAGTTTTGTGTGTGTGTGTGTGTTTGTGTGTATGGAAGCATTCTGTTAGTGGGTGCACATATATCTGTATGGGCTGTGTGTCTGCGTGCACATGTTCAGCAGTAGTGTAACTGAGGAGGGGCAACAGGGAAGTAGCCACCTTTGCCAGGGGGTGCAGAAAATAGCCATGACAGCAGTGGCAGTTGATCATGCCATTACAATCAGCAGGGGTGTCAGCAAGCACCATGGCAGTCTGCACTGCCTTGTGAGGTGTGGACTAGCCAACTACACCTCTGACACTCAGACGTACAGATGATGTTATGGCGAATGTGTGTGCATATGGGAATAATACTGTTTCAGAAAGTCCAGGTGCATGGGGGGCGGGGGTGTATACATATTTTGTATGTGTGTGTTTGTGTGCAAATCATGCCTATGGGCAGCATGTGCTTCTGGGTCCCTCCCACTACACAGCATGTGCAGCAGCAGTATAAATTAAGCTCAGCACAGACTGTTGCAGTGTCGATGGGAGGAAGCTGGTCCCATGCCTGCAGGAGAACTTGGCACCAAACCTTCATGCCCAGCACAGTTTCCACACCTGCAGGGAAGCAGGACACAAGCCCCTTGTGGCCAGTGCTAGCACCACATCACCTCCAGCTACGAACTTCAGCTTCACCTTTGTCATTAAAAAAAGATTTTATTTACAGACTGTGGTAAAAAAAAAAATTAGGCTTTGGTTAGAAGAATGCAAGGTAGGGGAGGTGGAGCAGGAGCCGGGCTGGGCTCAGATGTAGCCAATGATGTCATTGCAGATGATGGGCTGCCGGCTCCGGCTGTTCATGAGGGCAGCGAAGCAGTTGAAGTCTGTGGCCAGCTGGGCAATGTTGTTGTGGGACTGATGGAGGTAGGGCCCCTTGGGCCGCCCACCAAAACCAAGGGGACAGGAAAACCTCTTGGTGCTGGAGGGGTCACGTCCACTAGGCCGTGGGGCTTCATGGGTTTTGGGACGCGAGATACTGGCTAGCTTGCGTCGCACATTGCCTGAGAGGCTAAGCAGAAAGCCGTGGGACTTTCCTAGCCAGCGTGGGGGCTCTGGAGGCTGCAATCGGCAGCTCTCGGCACCCACTTCAGGCAGGTCCATCCAGTTCTCCACCAGATCGGCAAAGCAGTTGTCCCCCAGCACTAATGGCTGCCGGTTACGGCTCTGCGACAGCAGGGCCACGGTCCAGTCCTGGGCATCTGCTGGTTCCAGAACCCGCCACTGCTCTAGGCAGGCATCAGATGTGGATTTGGGCCGGACCCTTCTACTGGGGGCCTGGCTGGGGCTGCTACAGAGGAAGTTGCCTGCGGAGAGCCGGTGTGCCCGCTGACATGGGGGTAGAGGGTTCCTGAGCAGCACTGGTCTCTCCTCCTTATGCCATGTGCCCTCTGACACCTCTGAATAACCCGAGTCAAACTCCAAGCTCCTTTCACTGGCAGGTGGGGACAAGGCAGGTAGTGCCCGCTCCTCCTCCTCACCAGCCAGCTCCAAACAGCAGGCTGAGTCCACCTCAAAGGTGTCTGACGCCCGAATTTCAGTACGCTGCTGCTGGGAAGGCTTGGCAGGAATAGATACTGGCTCCATAGGCTCTGGCTGTGGGGCCTGGTCTTGCATGCGTTTAAGGTTATGAAGAGTCTGCACCATGCACTGCATCTGCTCCCGCAGTGTGTCCCCTGCTTCTTTCATGCACAGCTGTGAGAAGAAAAAGGCATGTTAGTTACCCCAGCCGTGGAAGTGTCACACACCCCATCAGTGCCCTCCTGTCTCTGAGAACACATCACCTTTCCCACCTCAGGTATCAGCTGTCCTGGAAGTACTCTTCCACCCCCCGACATCACCCGTCCTGTCCCTGACAGCACCTGTTACATACCCTCTGCACCCTCCGCACGTGTCCAGCAGCAGCTTGATACCCCACCAGCAGCAGCTTTGTCACTGCTGAGCCAAAGTGCAACAAAAAAAGACAGACCTTGGGGCCTTGTCATCCATGCACGAGTTCAGTGCCAGCCCTATCCTGCTCCTGTGGGCCTCTTGGACATGATCAGAGAATATTACAATGTTCATCTACTGACCGTGGCAACCACGTCCCTGCAACTTTTGCTCCTTTACATTTTGCTTGCCCCCCTTTCTCTGCCTCACACGTGAGAATCAACACTCTGCCCTGGCACAGATAGAAATCATAGAATAATAGAACCATAGAAAATTAGGGTTGGAAGGGGCCTCAGGAGGTCATCTAGTCTCAAAGAAGTACGATCCCCAACTACATCATTCCAGCCAGGAGTTTGTCGAGCTGGGCTTTAAAAACCTCCAGGAATGGAGATTTCACCACCTCTCTAGGTAACCAGTTCCAGTGCTTCACCACCCTCCTAGTGCAAGTTATTCCTAATATCCAACCTAAACCTCCCTTGCTCCAACTTGAGACCATTGCTCCTTGTTCTGTCATCTGCAACCACTGAGAATAGCCTAACTGCATCCTCTTGGGAACCACCCTTCAAGTAGTTAAAGGCTGCTATCAAATCCCTACTCAGTCTTCTCTTCTGCAGACTAAATAAACCCAGTTCCCTCAGCCTCTCATAAGTCATGTACTCAAGCCCCCTAGCCACTTTCATTACCCTCTGCTGGACTCTCCAGTTTGTCCACATCCTTTCTACAGTGGGGGGCCCAAAACTGGACACAATACTTCAGATGTGGCCTCACCAGCACTGAATAGAAGGAAATAATTACTTCCCTCCATCTACTGGCAACGCTTCTACTAGTGCAGCCCAGTATGCTGTTAGACTGGCAACAAGGGCACACTGCTGACTTGTATCCAGTTTACTGTCCACTGTAACCCCCAGGTCCTTTTCCGCAGAGCTGCTGCTTAGCCAGTTGGTCCCATGCCTGTAGCAGGATATGGGATTGTTCTGTCTTAAGTGCAGGACTTTGCACTTCTCATGTGAATCTCTGACACATCCCACTGTCCCTCCCTGATCTCCACACTGCTCAGCATTACCCTGACATCCAAGCAGGGACTTGCTCTGGACAGGGAGGCATGCCAGGCCTCTTCCATCTAGGGATCCACATGTTCCCTCTCAGCAATGGTCAGTGTGGCTATCCTGCAGGATTACAGGGCCTTGGCTAGCTCAGCCAAGGTGCCCACGCTGTGGGGCCAGTGGGCCAACAGCAGCTGCCTAGGTTGTGTGTGGAGCTGTGAGAGGAGCTGCATATACAGGCCCTGGCTGTCCCCCATGCACCCAGCCCTGAGGCAGCACTTCCTTGCCACTCCTGCACAGGGCCTGGCCAGCATGTAGCAGCATGTCAGGGTGAGCAAGCAGCCGCCCCACCCCAGTCTGCAGCTACAGCCCAAGTCCCAGCCTGCCAGGGACTGACACATTTGGGTGGGACACCACCTTGGCCCAATAGGAGGCCAGAAAGGTGCCAGGCAGGGTGCTCTGGAGCACCAAGCACTGGGTGGTATGGGGGATAGGAGAGCCTTGAAAGTGGCCAGCCTGGACCTACGGGAAGTTCCCAGCTACTACCCTGTATGGGACCCCAACTCTCATGTACAAAGCTGAGCTCCAATTGATGCCCACAATTTAAGGCAGAAAGCTGGAAATTCCCAGTGGGGCAAAAGGCCACACAGGCAGGCTGAAACATGATGAGGGACAACTTCCTAGGAGCCGAGCATTTCCTGCAGCAGCAGTCCTAGGCAATGCACAGGGCTCGGGGTACTCGCAATTCTTAGAAGAAAGGGAATGGGGGCAGCCACACAGTGCCCAGAGGAATGTAAAGCAGAGCCCACAGGGGGAGCCATCCTGCTTTGGGACACAATTGAGCCAAGCACCACAACATGCAGCTGCTTACACAGAGATTATGCTAGGTGGGGCAGAAAGAAAATGTACCACCCACCCCAAACTGCCCAGCAAGGTTCAGTACAACCCTGGCACTGCTTCCCACAAAGACAATTCTACTACTCACTGATGAAGTGAAAGGGGCTCTCCCGCTGGGGCTCCCAAAGCCCACAGCCCATGTCATGCCCTGCATTCTCAGACAAGGGCTCAGCATAAGACGGATCCAGGGCTGAGGCTGACTAAGGTCATGGAGGGAGTCTGGCAGAGCTGGAGATTGAGTCCAGAAGCCCTGGCTTCCTGTTCATGCTCTCAGCATTAGACAATGTTCCCAGACACAGTTGAGGAGTAACCCCAGGAGGCCCAGTCTTCAACAAGACATTTTGCATTTTAAGCTGTTCTAGCATAGGTTCTGTCAAAAAGGGAACTCAAATCTTCCCTCACATTTCTCTACACTCTCTGAGCCCTCTCCTATACACATCTGTAATATGCTAAGTCCACGTCAGCCCCAAATATTTGCAGATGCGATTTGAGAAGGTACTTCAGGAAGTGACTGGAGTAGGGATGTGGCTTGATGTGAGGGGACCAGATGTCACAAGCCTCACCAAGGAAGGCTACACATAGCTTGCCACTCACTAAATAAGAATATGAAGC